TGGTTTCTCTTATTTAGGGAAATATGACACATACATTAACATCAGTCCTTACAGCATTTACTATTCCACTGCTTTGATTTCATTGTAGCATATAATAGGGGTGAAGTTCTGGCTCCACTGATGTCATTGGCGTTTTACTATTACTGTCATGGGGGTCTCTTTTGTCTCCTGAACACTAAGGACTAAATGTTCATTCTAGACTACACAGAGTCCTGGGCAACCCAGGAGCAGTCCGAAGAAACCCAGAGATTTGGACACACACATCTGCAGGCACAATTCCTTCGCTGCTTTCTCCTTCTGATAGGGGGAAGGAGACAGAATCAGCAGAGTATTTTGCTCCTAGTTACTAGCAGGAGCAAATTGCAATCCCTTCCTTTCTACTACACATTGGGGACAGCCAAGACTCCACCCAGTCTGGGGATGTGTTCAGCCACACAATACCCAAGGTCAAATGGTCCCCACAGGTTGTGTTGTTCAAGCCACAGTCTAGCCCTGCCCACAACATTTAACATCAGTACAACATCATTAGCCCAATAGCTGTAACTTCCACCCTTGTGCCTCACTCAGTCCTTTCATTTTGATAAGCAGAGAATTTAAATTAAAACAAACTAACAAGCAAACAAAACAACAACAACAAAACAAAACAAAAAAGAAAAGAAAAGAAAAGAAAAGAGAGTCTGGCAATAATAAAGCATATTGTAAAATTACAGCAGGCCTCTTTGGTGTGCAGCCTCCTCCCACTATCTGAACCCTTTGTCTGCTGGAGTGCAAGCTGTTCAGGGCAGGAAGCAAGGAATTTTTTGTGTCTGAGAAATCCAAATTTAGTAAGCACATATATACCTACTTACCTACCTACCATTACTGATCCTCTACTGGAGATGATGGTATTTTATTGCCGTCGCAAAATGCCACTTTGAGCAGATGGTGTTCACATACCACCCCAGATAATAGCTACATACTTCTTATTAAAATAAGCAAGGGTGGAGGAAGGTTTCCTGGCAACACAAATAATAACAACTTTCTTCCCAAGCCTGGCTGTTTTTAGAGTTCCCTGAAACAACGACAGTCTCTGCCTCTCGTGTTCCCGCTGGCCAGAAGGCCATGCCCACATCTCTGATATCCTGGCAGAGTTAACAATCAAAGTTTGTCCCAGGGAGTCAGTGGCATTTACTCAGCAGCTCTATACAGGGTTTTGTGGCCTGCTAACCGGGTGAGCCACTAGAAAATCCCTGACTTCATCAGAGATGGTAGAGCCTACCAGCTGCTTTCAATCAATGTGACTCACATGAACTCAGCACCCTCTAGTGGCAATCTAATATAGAGATGAAACAAAAGACAGGACTATGTAGCACTTTAAAGACTAACAAGATGGTTTATTAGATGATGAGCTTTCGTGGCCCACGAAAGCTCATCATCTAATAAACCATCTTGTTAGTCTTTAAAGTGCTACATAGTCCTGTATTTTGTTTCAGCTACACCAGACTAACACGGCTACATTTCTATCACTAATATATAGATGTATATGATTCTGATACTGTCTTGGTACTTTAGCTCAGTGTTTCTCAACCTTTTTTTCAATAAAATACCCCTTTAATATATATATATATTAGTACCCCCAGTACCTACAGTTTTCAGACACACACAATTTTTTCCTACCATTGCAAAACATTTGTTTAAACAACTTAATCGTAGCTGGGTGGGCGATTAAATTTTTGGGTGTAAAAAGTACAAAAATAATAAAGTGCTGTAAAACTTAAAACAAAAATTCAGTTTTCTCCAAATTTCAGTTGTGTTGCCGTATCCCCCAGACTTCTCTCGAGTACCCCTGAGGATACTCGTACCACTAGTTGAGAAACGCTGCTTTAGCTCAAGCAAGCTCAAACTAGCCACAATTCCTGTAATAAGAAATTACATCATAGGACCACGAAGCCTATTTTCAAAGACTAAACAGTGCTCCCATGCTAAGAAAAAAACTTGACAGCCTATATGTAACAGCGCCAATTGGTGACTCCCACCACAGTAGTATTGATGGGCTTGTCAGCAATCTAAACTGGCTTTTCCATCTTGAAGTCAGAAGCCTCTGTGGTTGTAGTTTGCACATACTTTATTAATTATTCACCATTGTTTTTGCAAAGATAAACGTTTTGATTGCTCAACTTTTTCCTCACTTAGAATTTCAAATGCAAGTAATAAACTATAATGTAGAAACCAGTTCCCACAGGCCCACTGGCTGGGAGTAGAAATGCAAGTCTCTCTCCTAAGCACTCGCAACCAATGGGCAGTCATCATTCTTTGTTGTCTTATAGTAGTAGCAGTGTTGTCATGTCTGCCATCATGACAGGCAGCTGTTTAAATCCCTCCATGACCATTTTTTTAAAATCATGAACAAAACCAATATTAATATTAGATTGTGAACCTTTCAGAATGAAGGATCCATTTGCGGCCTACTCAACCAGATGGAGTCTATAACTTTCTGAAATACCTTTGACTCATCATATTGTTGTGGAAACAATGAGGAATCCTGTAGCACCTTAAAGACTAACAGATTTATTTGGGCATAAGCTTTTGTGGGCAAAAACCTACTTTGTCAGATGCACATGTTGTTTTTGCTACCCCTCTGATACTTGTCATACAGTGGTGGGACTATCTGAGAAGCTAAGACTCTAAAATGTTTTTCAAACTTAATGTAGCAGCAACACCAGTTATGTTTCATATGATTATTTACTCATGGTAATGATGCCCACTACTTAAAAGGGCTGACAAAAGGGGTGCTGTGGTCATTATGAATAAGTTGGACTATGAACAGGAGGCAGCTAGACAACTCTCCAACACCACATTTTACAGACCTCTCTCCTCTGATATCTCTTCAGAATACCAAAAGAAACTACATCATCTTCTAAAGGAACTCCCTGCCTCTACTTTAGACCAAATTCACACAAACACACCTTCTGAACCCCAACCAGGATTATTCTATTTACTTTCCAAAATCCATAAACCTGGAAACCCCAGATGTCCCATCATTTCAGGTATTGGCACACTCACTACCGGATTATCCAGCTATGTAGACTCCCTCCTCAAACCCTATGTTACCAATACTCTTAGCTATCTCTGAGATACCACTGACTTCCTGAGGAAATTACAAAACATCGAGTCCCTTCCTGATAACACTGACCCTGCCACCAAAAGCTCTCTACACCAATATTCCACATGAAGATGGTCTACAAGCAATTAGAAATACTATCCCAGAGATTACCACAGCAAATCTGGTAGCAGATCTATGTGACCTTGTTCTTACCCACAATTATTTCCAATCTGGGGACAACTTATACCTCCAGATCAGTGGCACAGCCATGGTTACCCGCATGGCCCCACAGTATGCTAACATCTTTATGGCTGACTTAGAACAACATTTCCTCAACTCCCGTCCCCTATTACTCCTCCTTTACTTATGCTACATCAATGGCATCTTTATCATTTGGACCCACGGTCAAAAAATACTGGACGAATTCCACAGAGATTATAACAACCTACACCTCACCATCAATCTCATCCTAGACCATTCAACATGAGAGATCCATTTCCTGGATACCACAGCACAAATCACTGATGACAAAATCAATACCACTCTCGATAGGAAGCCCACTGACTGCTACACTTACTTACATACTTCCAGCTTCCATCCAGGACACACCATATGATCCATCATCTATAGCCAAGCCCTTAGATACAACCACATCTGCTCCGATACCACTGACAGAGACCAAAAACTTCAAGATCTCTACTAAGCATTCGTAAAACTCAATTACTCACCAGGGGAGTAAAAAAACAGATTGAAAGGGCCAGACGAATACCCAGCTACTTCTAGATAGGCCCAATAAAATCAAATATAGGATACCACTTGTTATTACCTATAGCTCCCAACTCAAACCCAACCCTTCCAGTGCATTATCAAAAACCTACAACCTATACCGGAACAGGATGCTACACTCTGGGAGGTTCCGGGTAACAGACCTATACTCTCCCATAGACAACCACCTAATCTCGGGAAGATTCTTACCAACAGCCACAGGGCATACCACATTAAAACTAACCCTGGAACTTTTCCTTGCAACAAACCCCGTTGCCAGCTTTGTCCACATAATTACTCCGGAGACACCATCACTGAACCTAACCATGTCAGTTATATGATCAACGGCTCATATTCCTGTATGTCCAGCAATGTAATATATGCCATCATGTGCCAGCAATGTCTCTCTGTGATGTATACTGGACAAACTGGTCAGTCACTTCACCAGAGAATCAACGTTCACAAATCAGACATCTCCACACAGAGAAATCTGTTAGCCAACATTTCGACCAAACTGGCCATTCACTTAAAGGCCTGACAACATGCATCTTACTTCAAAGAGACTTTAACACCAGATGACAGAGGAAGACTTCAGAACTTTTATTTATGCTAAAATTCGACACATTGCGGATGGGCCTTAATTTACATGATAATTACCTTACACATTACAAAGACAGCCTCCCCACCTTTTGATATTCATAGTAACTCCAGATTACCCACTTAATTGACTCTTACAATAAGCAATTTCCTCCTTCCTTGTCTCTTCCTTGTACCCTTGTCCCCACCTTCTATTCTATGTGGCTGATTCGTTACTGTATAATATGTTTTCTTTGGGTCATGCCAATTCACTTTCAGAATATGATCTGAAGAAGTGGGTGTGCCCCATGAAAGCTCATCACTTAATAAACCACCTTGTTAGTCTTTAAAGTGCTACATGACTGCTTTTTTTGTTTTACCAAGATCAGACTAACATGGCTACCTCTCTGTTACTTAAAAGGAGTTTTCCAAACACCCAAGAAGGGTGGTCACTGATCTGGGAATCTCACAGTTGATAGAAGATGATGGACATCTCCTTGGATGCACTCTCTTGATGATGTCCACTATATCTGTCCCATAATGAAACTTAATCCACCCTCAAAGGGTTGTCACTTACCTTTGTGACCAAACAGCATACGCTCTTGCATTCAAGGCATATTCTAGCTCAAAACGGCTACGTAAAGCTGCAACATGGCTCCGACCTGGGCCTCCTCGTGCAACGAGGCAATCAGAAGAAGAGGAAGGAGACAGAGAGCCACTGCTGTTGCTGGAGGCTGGAGACATCAACTGGATTAAAAAAGGAGATTGTCGACATTTATTCATTAGCCTTACAGTGTTAAAGAGGTTTCAGTGCACTGAGCAGGTGCAATAGAACACAAGCATTTTATTACAGTTCTAGATTTTCTTTATTCCCCTCTTCCTTATTAGTATTTTATGTCCCTTCTTTCTTCTACCGCACTGGCTGAAAAACGCAGTGCCTTCTGACTTTGATCAGTGGCAGAGGAGAGCTGCATGCAGCTTGCTGAGGGAAGTAGTAAATTCATCATCTCTTGGAGTCTTTAAATCAAGATTGGATGCATTTCTAAAAGATATGCTCTAGTTCAGCTGTGAGTTATTGGGCTTGATAGTGTTCACTTACATAGCAGGGAAGAGTAATTCCTTCCACTTCAGGAATTGCTGGGTGAATTTCTATGGCCTGTGTTCTACAGGAAGTTATGCAAGGTGAACAGAGCCATCACGCCTGGCCTTATAATTCACAAATCTTCAAGTACAAACCCAGAATAGCAGGGCAGGCGTCTAGTGTTAGGAGGCATTTAAAAGTTTAATCAGGAATCAAATTACTTTCTGAGTGAGGGAGAGAGGAAACAGAAGGGACAAAAACATCTTATCACCCCAGATTTCATCCTTTGTTGCCTGTTGCACTTAACAACTCTCCAAAGATTTTGTTTTTAAAAAATCTCCTAAAGAAGGGTTTGCCATGGAGACAATGGAGCTTAAGACTAACTCCTTAGATAAATAAAGTTTCTTTTTTATGGTTCATAGCCCACATATCATCCTGCATGCACTGCTGCCTACGTACCACAGAAGCCAGGTCTCCCATGAGACAGCACAGTTACTTGTGATAAAGTACTTCACTTGTTTTGAAAACTTAAAAGCCTCCACCTACACATAAAGCAACCAGCTGCAGTCAGAGCATGAAGAAATCTAATAGATTATGGGAGTCTGTGCTGACCCTTTAGTTCAAGAGCAGTGATACATTTTAAAGAAAAGGGAGTATTTTTATAATTCTTGTCATGCGCATGCGGGTACGTGTGCACTCACAGAGCAAATGTTAATTTAGGAACAGGAATCAGGCTCACTTCTCCTCTGATCAATTATCTTCATTAGGCTGAATGCTGATAGATCTAATTATTTATTAGCCACAGAGAAAAGAAGCAATGTAACTTTGTATTTCTCTTTTTATGTTTCTCTTTTAATTCTCCTCCCTAAAATCCATGTTAGACTCTTCTTTCTAGCCAGGCAGACCTGGGATTCCCAGATGGGGAAAAGTGGGTCTGCCTAAGACTAGTGCAAGATACATCCCTGCAATGCTGAACAGTTTCTCTGCAGCATGACCGTCTCTGGAAATGGAAGGAGCCAAGAGCAAGTGAGAGACCTGGTTTCAAATTATACTCTGTCAGGCTGGCCTTTGGCCTTCTTCTTCGGGCACTCATGGGGTTATTGTTTGCTGTAGCACCTTAAACTTTAATGAGGGAAGTTACAACTGGGTGAATCGGGTCAGCAAATTCTATGGCCTCTTTCACATTTGAGGTGCTCTCCAACTTGCATTCACACTTGCTCATTTGGTGCATGCATATTACTTAACTGCAGAAGCTTATAGCTTTACCTCAATATTGCACAGGCATTCCTCTAATTTTGTAACTACTTCAGAAAATTCGGGCCTTCCCTGTAAATACAAGAAAGAGAAAGAAGATACACTTCGTATTGCACATTGCAGAGAGACTGGTAGCTGCAGTTTTGATTATTAAAATGTGGATATTTGTGTTTGTAGGAGACCCTGAGTAGGGAAGATGATGCCATTTAGATATAAACTGCTCGCATACGGACTGACTATTCTAACTTCCCATCTAAACACTATACTGATGGGAAATGCAAGGGAGGGGTGATTGTGCAGCCTCTCCCCTTCTATCCCTGCATTCCTTGGCACCATTGTGAGTATATGTGCAAGTCCCATATAAACTGCATGCTCAGATCCTATAATGTGAGCTATTTTCTTTAGTGAATATTTTTTGTCTCTGATGTTAACATTGAATTTTTCCAATGCATCCTAACCCCAATGCACAGAGTCTTTTGCAAATCCAAATAGAGGTTCTTGAAGACTGTCTCTTTTTCAGTTATTCTATGGTTTTGCATTGGGCGCATGGAAAAGTTCTTCTCTGGATGTTACAGAAGGCCTGGATATGAAGTTATTACATGGGGTTTTCTTGCTATCACAATCTATTCATTATATTAAATAGAATGTAATTATGGAGATATTGGCCAGTGTCTCTTCTTATACTGGGCCTGACAGCATAATCTCAGTGGCTTCAGTTCTGCAAAGTCTTTAAGAACATGCTTATCTTACAAAGTGATTAAGTCCTACTGACTTTAATGATCCAAAGCCTATTGGAGTTAATGGAAAGACCAGAGTCATAATTTGGCACCTGAGGCAAGACCATCCTCGGCGCAAGCAGGATGCTGACGTGGTGCGAAGTACAAGCGAAGACAACATAGTAACTGTCTTTTCTGAGCCCCCTCAGTTATGCCCGAGACAAGTGCCTTACTTGCCTCATCCTTGTTACGGCCCTGGGAAAGACTCCCAGGCTGCGTCTATACTGGCAAGATTTGGCGCAAAAGCAATTGCTTTTGCACAAAATCTTGCCGCCTGTCTAGACTGGCCGTGAGTATTTGTGCAAGAACGCTGACTTTGTACTGTACAAAATCAGTGGTTCTTGCGCAAATACTCGGACGCTCCCACTCAGGGATAAGCCCTCTTGCGCAAGTATTCTTGCACAAGAGGGCCAGTGTAGACAGACAAGTTAATTTCTTGTGCAAGAAAGCCCAATGGCTAAAATGGCCATCGGAGCTTTCTTGCGCAAGACAGCATCTACACTGGCACAGATGCTTTTGTGCAAAAGCAAATCTTTTGTGAAAAGGCACATGCCAGTATAGACGCTCGCTGGCAAAATACTTTTAATGGAAAATCTTTTCTGTTAAAAGTATTTGCGCAAAATCATGCCAGTGTAGACGCAGCCCCAGTGACTTCAATTAACATGGATTAGGCCCACAATTATTAACACAACACATATGGTTATGTACTTTGTTGAATCAGGACCCAAGTCCTGTCAAAGTCAGTAATTTTAGTTTGATTAAAACCCCAAGAATTAGCTAAAAATAAAAGGAACTGATTATGAGTCATTGCATTTGATTTTCTGGGCACACATTTGCCTTTGGGCACAACCACAATTGTTGTTTGAAGCATGTAGATGTCTAAGAATTTGGTACTTGGGTACAGTCTGGTGGTTAGTTGACCTGAACTATGTGTGTGCCTTTAATTCATTGCAAATACTAAGCTGTCCCCTCCAAATTTGAAGCCCTTTTAACAACAAGACCAAAATACCACATAAACACACATTATTGTCTCACTTGTACTATATCTTTTAATAAACCAGAGGTAATGTAAAATTTTAGTCATAAGTGTTTTTCACAGAACATCTTTCTGGGTCATAAAATGTATCATTTTCTCGCAACAAATTAAAATCTCCTTTAAAAAATGCAGAAGCCACTAATTTACTTAATTGCCCACTTGCAATTAAACACTGAATAATAAACATCAATACCATGAAATACATGCTCTTTTTCTTTTAGGTACATTGCTCATTCTACTAGCTATGGTGATTCAGTTAATAACATCATGTCCCTCCTCATGCCTGGTATGCTCAGAAAACGTAACTCTGTGTCGAGGATTAACATATATACCAGGTAATTAAGTAAGACACTCTAAGAGAATGGATATTTATTTTATACACAGGGCTCACTGTAATACTCTGCTTGTATTGACTGTTTCTGGACTCTGCTTTGAAAATCAAGCCTCTACTGATGCTCTCTAAAGAGTGATAACCTTGTTTTATTTCTCTTTGCCTAGCGGCCTTACCCAAACTATTCTAAGGCCTTCAGAGGTAATTGAAAACCTTTGTTATGGTGGAAGGAGTCATTTCATGCCGCAAGACACTTTTAAGAAACAGATTGTTTTAATAAGTTATTGTCCACATTTTGTGCAAAGTTCAAGCCTTACATTGGCTGAACGAACTGTGGATGGTCTCAGAACCTTCCCAGGCAATTCTAAAGCATTAGTAAGATTAAGTGATATCCCAGTACTACAGATTAGAATCAAAGTGCATTATAATTCTGAAACAATGGTTTCTTTTTATTGGGGCTAAATGAGCTGTGGAAATGCTACCAAGATACATGGACTGTATTCATTATATGTTGCTCGCTTAAGTCAACGATTTAATAAGATACCTTATTAACAAATTTAAACAGAATGTGACTTTCATACAGATGCTAATAAACACATTCCTTGTTTATTGCTAAATGCAGCACAGCTCTAACACTAGTTCAGAAAACAGAAAGGCATTATGTTTCAGAAACGAGATGTACTAATAGCCATATAATGGAATAACAGTTGGTATTTAAATCATCGTCCATCCATAGTTCTCAAAGTGCTTCACTAAAATGGGTACGTATTATTAAAACCAGCTTATTCGGGGGATGCTAAATCTAGAGGAAGTTAAGGTTCCAAAATAAAGCTCATTGAAGTCAACAGGCTGTCAGTGACTGGTCCAAAGTCATTTAGGCCTTGATTCAGAAAAGTATTACAATTGCTTACATCTTTTTGAATCAGCTAAGCATGTTATTAAGTGATGTTCTGAAGAGGGATAGACTTAAGCATATATTAAAGTACTTCCCTGAACTGGGGCCAAATTGACACACTGACAGAGCCAGAAATGGATTCCAGAACAAAAACAAAAACAAAACACAACAAAAAATCTAGGACTCCAAGACTGCCGTAGGATTTGGGAGTCAGAATATCTCAGTTTGAGCATTTGCTTACAGAATGCTAAGCCTGTAACAAGTCCTGTAAAGGTACAATAATTCCAAACTCCACTCCAAACAATTGGAAATTAAACTCCCTTTTTGTTTTGAATTCCTCAGCTACCAGAATATCCTGACTGAGAACTTGTCTACATTTGAAAATGTTACCACCACACAGCTGCAACACTGCAAGCTGCCTCATACTAGCATAGAACTACCTACACCAACAGTAGGGGTTTTCTCATTTCCGTAGGCAATGTGTCTCCCAGAGAAGCAATAGCTATGTCAATGGAAGCATTCTTGTCATCTTAGTGCTGTCTGCATTGGGTGTTAGTTCAGCTTAACTACAGCACTCAGGAGTGTAGATTTTTCACACCATGCATGATGCATTTAAGCAATCTTAATTTTCTTGATTGGACTAGGCCAAAGAAAACCAGTGTTATTAATATTGCTATCTATATTGCTGAATATATTAAACACATTATATTTTGTATACCCAGAATGTAACAGATTTGATTGTCTCAAGGTGACATCACTTAATCCCCGTGCAATTGTCCTACTGTTCATGAAAAGACACTATTTTGTGTACAAAAAGTTGCTTAGTTGTTGAGATACAGACCTGGTCCACACTAGGCTTAACTATATCACTTAGGAGCATCAAAAGTCTACACCCAATTCCCAGTGTAGCTAGCTCTAGATCAACAGAAAAATTCTTTCACTGAACTAGCTACAACCTGTTGGCGGTGGATTCCCTGTACAGATGGGAGGCTTCCTCCCACTGGCATAAGTTTTGTGTGCAACACAGCACTGCAGTGGCTCAGTAGCAGCAATGTAGCTGTGCTGCTGGAGTATTTCAAGTGTAAAAAAGACTGCAGAATCAAATAAATGGCCTGCCAGTTTTTACATTATCCAGTGTGAAAAAAAAAGGGTGGAAACCGGTCACTTGGTATTATCCATTTCCTGAGGAGACTGGCAAAGCCCCAAAAATGCTATGAGCAAAAGATTTGCTTTTCCTAAGCAACAAATCTTTAAGGCAAAACAATCTTTGACAGCATATGCACAATGATAAGTGCCAGTTTAGAGGCGCACAAACCCTGTTATTGACCCACAGGCTGGAGTCCTTGTGTGCAGGCAGGTAGTTCTTCATTCAGCCCACCTCATTTTGTGGATGCATTAGGTTTACACATTGGGTTGTATGCACCCTTGAACCAGAATAATGTGAATGCATGCCCTGAAGATTTAGCCTTTGTAGGCAATCAAATTTTTTTTAAAAAATTAACTCATATTTTAAAGGATTTGTATGTCACCTAGCACAGTGAGTCTCTGCTCCATGACTAGGGGTCTAGATGCCACTATATAATTAGTCAAGCAGTCAATAAATGTTTTCTGTGAAAGTCACATATATTTCTTAATGCAAAAACAGGAACAAGCCACACAAACAAAAGTAAAATGATCCTTCTTTCTGCGCCATTTCAGGTTACCAGAAGCAAATTTTTCATTTACTTTATTTGCTTGAATGTTACTGTCCAATCTCTTGAGCTAGGATGAGAGTCTGGATTCCCTCCCCCAATTTAAAAATGTCCATAAGAGTCCAGTAATTCATATTTGAGAGATGCTGCAATAAAAGTGATATAACAATAAGTTATTAATTATGCACCTACCCTCAAGAGATTATTCAATTTGGACTGGACATAGTTTGAAGTCAAAAGGACATTTGCCTTTTATCACTATGAAGAGTTTATTTAATGCAACCTATATCCAATATGGGTCTGGACACACCAGAGCATATGGGACTCCCATGTGAAAACCCTC